AATTTAGCAGACCCTAAACCACAGTGCAAGATAGTACCTGATTAGGCTAAGAGACTCTCGAAATGTGTTTTACCAGATGAAGTAACAACGCTGCGCGTCTGTCAGTTCGCGGACCGCGGCGATTACCTAGCCGAATCACTTCAAGATAAAAATGTGTTGCAGTAGCCAGCAACGAGAGAAATATGAATTTCCTAGTCGGCAAACGCCGCCATGGCATGTTATGAACCATTGGGAAGTAAAGCTGCAAGCATACAAACTCGCAGTATTTCAAATTTGTTCACTTTCAGCATTAGTTCATGCAATGACCATGTTCGTTGCGCAACGCCACATGCGATAGGGTTCCGTCGCCAAGCCAATGGGCGTGTGGCGTGGTTACTATATCTGGTCAAATGCCCCTTGCAAGTGAGGCAAGCAGTTGTCACCTAAACCTAACCTTTTCATGAATGAAATATGAGGGCAGGGGAGGAGGGTATAGTGGTTCGAAAATTTTTGGTCTTGTTCTAACACGTTCCGGGACACCGCTTATGTCGTCTTCGGCTTAGTACATGGCTGGCCTGAACAAAAGTGTTTAAACATTTGGAAGGGGCTCATACCAGTAGTCTATAGACACAGCACAGTTTGTTCAATTACTGATGTGTGTATACGCTCCATAACTATGAGTACAATAGGATCGCTCACGCCTAACAAAGTTACTAGCAAAATGATTTGGAGTATTTTATGATCTTTCTGCAGCCGTAAAAAATCAACCAGATCTGTGCACCTGTCTTTTCTTTTTTCGAGTTTTACGAATCTCATGGGCACCACCGTGGAAGATCCACATTTTAATCCTCAGGCTCTGTCAAACAATGGCAAATTCTAATGTGGACCTCATCAATGTTGAAAGAGGGGCTGAATAAAGAAAATGCTACTTTTATTGAAATAGCAACGCTCATATTCAGTCTGCACGATTGAGGGAATGTTGAATGGCTTGTACATATATATTTTTTTCTAAATCTAAGCCTTGTTTGTGAAACTTCTCTGAATTTGGTCTTTAGTGATAAAAATTGAATGTTATTTCACCTATCACCTGCTCCAAATATGTATTTTAGTGCTCCAAAAGTAACATTTTGCTGTTTCAAAAATTGCTCCAAATTCTATTTCTTCTGTCGCACTCCTGATACTGATATATAAAGCAGATTTTATTTCATTTTCGAAGCTTTTGCTTTGAGTCGTCTGTGTGTGCAGTCTCACCAAGACAAGCGTCATTTTAATGAATTTTTTTACAACTTTTCACTTGAGTTTCTATTTTTCAGTTGTTGCTATTGCCCCTGAGAGAGCGAGAGAGAGAGAAATAACGTGTATTTGCACCCGTCTAGAATGATGGGCGAAGAGGCTTCGACCTCTGCCCCCAATTATCCCTCTAGCCATCGGCCGGAATTCCTTGGGACTCGGCGGCGTTCAGGGCAAGATCGATGACTTTACTCTGTTCGTCGGCTTCATGGCTGTGTAAGAAGGCCTCCCAGGATTCTACGTTTCTACTTGAATTATTGTAGGATGGGCAGGTTCATACCTTGTGCACTAAACCCGCAGTGCTGTTGCAGTGTGCACGTCTGGATTTAAACACTTCCGTGTGCCATTTACTGCACAAATGAAGGTTTGGAAACACCCCGGTTTGCAATTTTCACCACATAATTTCCTCCTTTTTGCTCAGCTGTTTAGCTGCCTTTGGATAAATATTACGGTGGAATTTATAGTGTGCGGTGATTTCCTGAAACGTTCGTAGTTCGTCTCTTGTGGAGAGGGGCTGCTCGCTCGAAGGCGGCGGGTCAGCGTCGATCGACCGGAAAGTGAGCCCTCGGGCGATCACGTGCGCCTTCTTATTCCCCTTCAGACCTTGATGGGCCGGAAACCATACTAGTGAGATTAGCTCTGCGGATACTGGTCCTTGTCTTAGAATTTTGGTGGCTGTAGCAGAGATCCTGCCCATATCGTAGTTTTTAATGGCTGACTTAGAGTCGCTTACAATCACTCGTGTGCCATTTTGAGCTATTGCCAAAGCAATCGTCACAACTTCTTCTGCCTCTGTGGTGGTTGTGTTCTTAGAAGTGCAGAAGGAAACCAGGTCCCCGCTCTCGCGAACCACTACCGCTGTGTATGCTCCCTTTCTTTCGTATTCTGCAGCGTCCGTGTAAAGCACGCCAGGTCGACCTTTAAGTTTCGTCTGCAGGGCGACAGCTCTAGCTTTGCGTCTGCCTTCATGAAACGCCGGATGCATGTTTTTCGACAGCGGTTTAATTTTTAGTCCTGCCATAGTTGATTTAGGTATGCTAGCTGTCTGTCTGGAACACTCTGTGGGCTCGAACACCAAGCGCTCCATGATTTTCCTCCCGATTCTACTTCTCAGAAGTCTTTGGTGCTGTGACATCATGGCGGCTTCTATATTAGCTCATCTAAAGTGTTGGAGATACCCTGCCCAAGAAGTTTACCGTAGAGGTGTTCGGGGGAAGCCCTAGCGCAGTCTTGATGCCTTTCCTTATAATGGCTTCAATTTTATCTTTTTCTGCTCTACTTAATTTAAGATAAGGGGCAACGTATAGTACACAGCTTATCACGAAAGCTTGAATTAATCTTGAAAGATTGGCTTCCTTCATCCCCGCATTCTTGTTAGAAGTGCGCTTAAGCAGGCGGCACGTCTGGTTCGCACTAGCTTTGAGTCTCCGGATAGTTTCAGTGTTTTTTCCATTGGCTTGTATGTGAATCCCTAGAATTCTAATACTGTCTACGGTTGGAATAGCATTACCATTCACTCGTAAAGCGATGTCACAACCCCTTCCGAGGGGATTGTTTGTTTTCCTTTTTTGTGATAGTAAAAAAGAGCCTCTGATTTTCTGCCGAGCATTTTTAACCTAGTGGTTCGAGATATTGTTCGATAGTATCAATAGCCGCCTGAAGTGTGCTTTCAATATGTCCGTCACTACCCCTGTTTATCCACAGCGTCACATACTCTGCGTATATTGTGTGATGCAGATTTTCGATTTCTTCTAAACTTCTCAGGAAGTCCAATCATCGCTATAATATAAAGAGTCGGAGAGAGTACAGACCCTTGTGGCGTCCCTTTATTCCCCAATTTATTGTTTTCGAGCGACTGCCCTCCCATGCTGATAGGGGCTGTACAATTTGAGAGAAAGCCCCTCACGTGGTTGTATGTCTTGACGCCTACGTTTAGCGCACTTAGGTTCCTAAGTAAGGCTTCATGTTTAACATTGTCAAACGCCTTGGAGACGTCCAGACCCACAATTACTTTGGTGTCAACAGTCTTTTCGTCTATTATCTCCTCCTTTAGCTGTAGCATAATATCGCACGTCGATAGGTGGGATCTGAAGCCTATCATAGTATCAGGGTACAGGTTTTCATCTTCCATGAATCTAGTCAGTCTTGTTTGGATGACGTGCTCCACCAATTTTCCTCCACAAGATGTGATGGAAATGGGTCTGAGCTGTTCAGGACTGAGCTTTTTCCCTGGCTTAGGAATGAAGACCACATTGGCTGTTTTCCAAACTTGCACTATTTCTCCCTTGTCCCAGCATTCTTGCATATAAGCTGCAAGTTGACGAATGGAGCCGTCGTCAAGATTACTGAGCATTCTGTTGTTGATTTTCGTCCGGACCGGCAGCCGTTTTTGTTTAGGTCGGTTAATTTCTGCCCTGACTTCTCCAACTGTGATGAGGCTGTCTAGGTCAGGTTTTCTGAACCAGTGTAGTCAGGGAGTTTTTGAGATACTGTGCAGCTGAGGTAGCGATCCCTAACGTCCGTTAATAATTCCGTCGTCATTGGCAACGATAATCTCTAAAATTCTATGATCACAATCTAGGTCTTCCCCGGTATTTCACCACGTGGTAGTGGTGCCACTGCTGATCAGAGTAAGATCTGGCGTCGTGTCTTGAGATACGCTATTTCCTTTCCTCGTTGGCTGCATTAAGGTCTATATATAAGTATCAGCTCATGTTGTTGAATTTTGTTCCAAATATTTCTGGCCTTAACCTGGGTGAATTTATAACACCATGCCGTATGATTCGCATTAAAGTCACCCAAAATCAATAGTAGACCGTTTGCTGAAATAACCTTTGTTTTCGTGAAAAGATCACCAAAGTTGATTTTGCGCTGCCTGGGGGAACTATACACATTCAGGATAAAAAGAGTGTTGCCTTTGCGCTTGCGAGGCACAAGTTCGACTAAAACATGATCGATCTGCGAATTCCCCGTCTCGTGCTGCAATATCGTAATGTTTCTCTTTACCAAGGTCGTAACTTGGGTATCATTACCCGACCCAGCAAAAGATTTGTAAGCTGCTAATTTTGCATTTTTCCCACACTCCTCGATCGCAATAATCTCCGGTCTATCGGCGTTGGTACGAAAAGATTGTTAAACGGCACGTTTGCGCGAGAAACCCCTACAGTTTCACTGGCAAATCGCATTACTGCAAGGGTGCAGAGCCATTATGTTTTAGCTTGAGCGGTTGGCATAGCCATTCTATCTGTCGGCTCCTGCTAACAAATTGAGCACTTAATTTGCTCAATAGCGTTACCTACTTGTTTCATGTGTTCTAGCACAGCTTGGAGCATACCTTGTAATGACTGTTTTCACCTCAAGCGCTTCAATTCTCTCTCCGTGATTTTCTTCAATTTCGGTTTCCTTAGCCCTCTTCTTCTTTAAAGGCGGTTGGTTTGCTACCTGAGGTGTTTCCAGCGCCTGCCCTGGTTTACTGATTAGATGACCCTTAATCTCATCAAGCTGTTAGCATCATTCCGTATTTTGCTCCTGTAATATCTTGTTTTGCTCTTTAAGAGCATTAATCATCTCTGTATTAGCATCCTGGGAGACCTTAGTTACCCAACCCACCTGTGGTCCTGTGGATTTTGACTTCTCCTGGGCACAACACCACCATCACGGGGTGCCTTTTGAGAAACTCCCGGCTTCTCCAGTGGTGGCAATCGGGGGAAGGATTCCGAGCGCCCTCTCAATCAACTGCAATGCTTGGATTTGCGCCTTGAACGATCTTGGACCCCATCTGTCCTGCTGTGCTGCTGCGTGTCCTCTTCGGCCTTGCGTCGTTCTTCTTGCTCCCGTGCTTCTTCAAGCTTCGTTTCCCACTGTCGCTTCTTCACTGTATAAGGTGTTCGAAAAAGTTCTTTGCACCTTTTGTCTCCGGGCACGTGCTCCTTGCCACGCAGACGGCACCTCGGTGTATATTCATGGTCCTTGGGTGGGGAGGCCACTCCACAACCTCTGCATTTTAGTGCGGGCTGTCACATACATCTGATCGATTTCCAAGCTCACCACACCTGTAACACGCTTCATATCTGTTCTTGCAGAGAAAACATTTCATCGACGTCCCAAAGCAGATCATCCGTCTCGGCACGTAGTCGTCAACAAAGGCGATGATTACTGAAGTGGAGTTGCCCATTTTTCGCACACCAAGAATAGGACGATTCTCTTCGTGTGAGAAAGCCAGTTCGAACTTCCTCTCAGAGAGTCTGATATCAAGTCCACGTACCACTCCTTTGCCACAGCTTTTAGGCGAAGCCATATATGTCTTCACCTCGTACATCTTGCCGTCGAACTTTATGTCTTTCAGGTCCAACATTTTCTTGGCATCATCCTCCCTAGGCGTGCTGTATATCAATATTCCTTACTTGTCCTTGAGAACGATCCTGTCCTCCTCCCGACCTTTCTGCCATGGTATGCCTTCTGCCATCCTTACTGCTCCACCAATCACAGGTGCCGAGCGTCTGGTGAGCGTCAGTCCTTCTTTTGGTCTGATAATAACCTTGTGATCCGCATTCCGAAGACGCGGTAGATGCGACGCTACTGACCGCTCCGCGAGCTTTTTTCGCGCCGTTTTATATGAGGATTTCCCGCTTACACTATGCTTGTCGCCATTGAAGCTGGCCGGCACTGTCCTGCCTTCTTTCCCACATCCACCGCTGGTAGACGCCGCCCTAGTGGCGCCGTCACGTTCTCGTTGTTGACTCTCCTGGAGCTCTGCCACACGTTTTGACACTTTAATCACCCAGGCCGAGCTTTACGATTCTTCTTAATCGGCATCTTTACCATTAACAGTCACTTTCATCGTCATAGTGCATCCGCAGACGCTCTACGAGCCGACGCCTGGAGCCTCGAACGCCGAACCAACCGCCTCGGCGCTAGGCGAAACGGTGGAGTTGGCAAGGCGCACAACGTGGCCGAACACCAAACGCGCAATAAAATCCTTTAAAATCCACTTACAGTCTTCAGAATGGTAGCCACAGGACCTGAGCACGTCCGCAAACACACACAGCACTTTATCAGCTGCCTGTTGTTATTTCCGCGTGAAAAAGTGGTCATTGGTCATTTCACGCAGCCGACGCGCAGACGTGTCTACACCTCTGCATTTTACTGCATTTTACTCACAAATGCATTTTACTGATATGTGCTCTTCTAGGGCTAGTGAGTCCAGTAACGTATGTAGTTCACACCTGTCTATATATTTAGTGGCCCTTGTACTGACGTCTTATTTGGATTTGTGAGAAGCCATCGCTACTATAAATCCGTAAACTGTCCGTCAGCCTTTAGCTTTTTAGTTGGCATTATGGAGCACAAAAAATTTATTGTAAACAAGATCAGATGAAGCTTCACATTATACTCCTGCCAGCATCATTTCGAATGTCGCCTCTATTAGTATACCCTGGCATGCCGTGATCTACTTGTTAGACTTTTTTTCTTAAAACTTGAAAACCAAGCATACTGCGAAAATTTTTTGGAAGTAGTGCTTGTCAGATTGTGTTTTTGCTCTCGAAAACTTTTTGAAATGCTGAGCGTTAAGCCGTGGAGAATGAAAGGGGCTGCGTGTGTTACGAAGATGTTTTGTGTTGTGCTCGGAGCTCATCCAGGAGAGCATGCCATATGCACAACTCGTCCCATGGGGATCGCAGTGGATGTCATGTTGATTCAGGATGAGACCATTAAGCAGGAAGAGGCATCTCCTCTGACCTGTGTCCAAGAGTTCTGCTGGCAGTGCCTGTGGCATGATCGACTGGATGGAAGGAACTGTTGCCTGACCTGTGATACTCACATGCTGCTTCACTGTTCTCAACGCAGGAGTGCTTCTCATGCTGCAATTGCTGCTCAAGTTTTGGTTTTGGCACTCCGTGACTTGCTTTCCAGGCCCCTTGCGCACCGCTGCTGCTCTACTCATCTGGTCTTTGGTTTCCACAGCAGTGCACTGTTAGCAATGGCTCTTTTCTATCTGTGCGCTGCCAATACCTTTGTGACCACAGTTTTTGACACTCTAGAAAATACTTTTCTTCCGCATAGAAATTGATTGTTGCTTAAGTCGGAGATGCAATCATTCATCATCATCATCAGCCTAACTACGTCCACTGCAGGACAAAGGCATCTCCCATGTTCCGCCAGTTAACCCGGTCCTGTGCTTGCTGCTGCCAATTTATACCCGCAAACTTCTTAATCTCATCTGCCCACCTAATCTTCTGTCTCCCCCTAACCCGCTCTTCTTCTCTGGGAATCCAGTTAGTTACGCTTAAAGACCCAGCGGTTATCCTGTCTACGTGTTACATGCCCGGCCCATGTCCGTTTCTTCTTCTTGATTTCAGCTTTGATATCCTTGACCCCCGTTTGTTCCCTAATCCACTCTGCTCTCTTCTTGTCTCTTAAGGTTACACCTACCATTTTTCTTTCCATCGCTCGCTGCGTCGTCCTCAATTTAAACTGAACCTTCTTTCTAAGTCTCCAGGTTTCTGCTCTGCAGCTAAGTAACTTTTCGCAAGATACAGCAGTTATACAGCAAGATACAGCAGTTATACACCTTCCTATTGAGGGATAGTGGCAATAAACCTGTCATAAATTGAGAGTGCTTGCCAAATTTGTTCCACCCCATTCTTATTCTTCTGGTTACTTCAGTCTCTTGGTTCGGCTCCGCGGTCTTTACCTGCCCTAAGTAGACATAGTCTTTTACAACTTGAAGTGCACTATTACCTATCTCGAAGCGCTGCTCTTTTCCGAGATTGTTGTACATTACTTTCGTTTTCTGCAGATTCATTTTAAGACCCACCTTTCTGCTCTCCTTGTCTAACTCCGAAGATGCAATAGCCGTGCCTATTTCGCCAAGCTGTGCAAAGAGATAAAACCTGCTACATCTTGGCAAAAATTGGATTCTTTTCGGCAAGCCTGTGCCAAAGTGTTGTTTATGCGTTCTTTCCATGCAAAACAAGATGGAAGAGAGCTCTAAATTTATAGGATACCATTGTAATTTCAAGCAATCAATGCGGTAGACAGAAGAGTACTATATAGTTGAGGTAGTTGCTGGGAGGAAGCCTTTAAAAAATTTCAACTTGGCCATAGTGTGAAACTTGCCGCATAAGTTTTTTATAACTAATAGACTGTACTGTGAGATAACTATATTGATTGCTACAGAATAGTTTTTAACTTTTGTGGATGCTGTCAGAGAAAAGTATTAGTGACTTGGTTTTTCTTGGGCGACATCACTATTTATTTATTTATTTATTTATTTACACATACTGCAGCGCTAAGTGCGCTATGGCAGGAGTGGGTGTACAAAATACACGGAGACAGGAATGAAAATTATGTAAACGGGTTACATAATACAAATGGGTGGTTATACAAGGTCAAAAGTGCACAAACATGTGATTAACATGAATGGAAAAAAAGAAACAATGCAACTAAAGAGCTAACACCAATGGCAAATAGATGAGGGTATGTTGCAGACGCAAGTCATGGATGTCGGCTTGAAAATTGGATGATGGGCGTGAACGAATAGTACCAGGTAACGAATTCCAGTCTTCAATAGAACGGGGAAAAAAACTGAACTTGAACATGTTAGTTCGAATAGTAAGGCGTTAAGTTTAAGTTGTGATAGCTTTTTGTCATTGACTGAGATGGAAAGTTTATTTAGTCCTTGTCATTTGAAAGTTTAACCGAAGACGTAGCGTAGTAAGGCGTTAAGTTTAAGTTGTGATAGCTTTTTGTCATTGACTAAGGTGGAAAGTTTATGTGGTCCTTGTCATTTGAAAGTTTAACCGAAGACGTCACAATGCTATGCAAGAATTTTAATGACTCTATTCGGTGACGCGAAGAGAGCGAAGTTAAGTTCCGTGAAAAAAGAGTAGAAGAGGGTGAAAAGTCGCGGTCATAGCGATGACATATCAATCTTACAGCTTTTTTCTGAATTGCTTCTAACCTAATAATCTCGCACTGCTTGTACGGGTTCCAAACGACAGATGCGTAGTCTACTGTTGAGCAAATGAGTGATTTAAATAAGAGAAGCTTAGTTTCCTTCGGAGATTTAGATGGAGTGCGACGTAGATAGCCTAGTTTTTTAATGCTTTGTTACATACGTAGTCAATGTGCTTAGACCATGTCATATTAGGAGTAAAAATGACCCCTAAATACTTATAATCAAGAACCCTATTTACTGCACGATTATTGAAAGAGTAATCAAAAGTAGAAGGAGATTTACTACAAAAGGACATAAGTACGGTTTTTTTAAAGGTAATGTTCATTTGCCAGGTTCTGCACCAATCGCAAAAACCAGCAAATGACTCTTGCAAGCGGTAATGGTCAGCGTGTGATTTAAGAACCTCATATAAAACGCAATCATCGGCGTAAAAACGAATGGAAGAGGAGATGCAAACAGTCTAATCATTTAAGTAAATTAAAAAAAGAAGAGGCCCAAGAACGGACCCTTGGGGTACTCCAGATGTTACATCAATGGCAGTAGAGTTCGTTGACCTGTAAGAAACGAACTGAGAGCGAGATGACAAAAAGCTAGAGATCCAACTAACCAATTGAGGATTGTTTATTATGACATCGAGTTTAGCGAGAAGTTTAGAATGCAATACTGTATCGAAGGCCTTTGAGAAGTCAATAAATATAGCGTCAACCTGGTTGCCAAGATCAAGGTTCAAAAAAATATCATGCGTGAGTTCGACTAAGTGTGTTGTGGTACTAAAACCACGCCTAAACCCATGCTGCATGTTTGATAGTAGTCGGTGCGATTCCAAGAATAGCGTAATGTGTTTATGAATGATATGTTCTAACATCTTGCATGATTGAGAAGTCAATGATATCGGTCTATAATTCAATAGAGAC